GCCCCCATTCCTCCCCAAAGGCTGAAGATATTGGCATGAGCTCTTAATTGGAACTAAGGACACAATCATCAAGTCCAGTCACATCTTACAGAAACATGGAGGTTTACCTGACACTGTATAGATTTGGCATATGAGAAAGTGCAATCTCACAGATAGAGAAAAAAACCTAGTGGGGGCAGCTGGGTGGTACAGTGGATAGAATACTAGGCCTAGAGTCAGGAAGACCTGAGTTCAAAGCCAGCCTCCAATACTTATTAGCTGTATGACCCTGGGAAAGTTACTTAACTATCTGCCTCAGTTTCCTCAACTGTAAAATGGGGATAATAACAGTACCTACCTCATAGGGTCATTGTGAGGATTAAATGAGATAATATTTTTAAGAGCACTTAGCACAGTGCTTGGTATATAGCAGGTACTTAATAAATGCTTGTTTCCTTCCCCCTATTTAAAATGATGAGTTCCCACCAAGCCCTAAAAGTTAGTTAGTGACTTTTTAGCGACTGGGTCCCTATTCCCAAATCCATTCTCCATTTTCTGGGGAGGTCTCCATTAGCTCTGGGATGAAACTGAGGGATTATTTTTTTTGTAAGCAAATGCAAGTTACGTCTTGCTAACTTTGTAAGTATCTTGCACAGCCTTTCTGAGACCACCCCCTTACCCTACCCCTAGTCTTCATGTCGTGAAAGAGTAATAAAGAAAAAAGGAAAAGGAACAATCACAGGGATCTACTAGAAATGAGACAAAATAAAAACTTCTCATTTGGCAGGACATAGATATAAGGAAACCACACTTTGTAGAGAGCAGAAGAAGGAATAAGACACCCTAATTAGAGACTCATTGAATCATGGAGTTGGTACGGGACCTGCATCCATCTCTCTTCATTTGGGATGAACTGAAACAAGTCTGGCTAATAGAAACATAGATGTGGGAGGGATTTTGAACGGTCATCTTAATTCCCCATGAGGTTCACATATTAATATCCCAAATATGACACCAATTTAGCTCTATGACCTTGGACAGGTCCCTTTCAATTTCTGGGCCTTTTTCTCCATCATTAAATTGAGGAGATTATACCAGATGATATCTAAAGTCCTAAACCAAGGGTGGGGAATATGTGGCCTCAAGGCCACATGTGGCCCTCTAGGTCCTCAAGTGTGACCCTTTGACTGAATCCAAACTTCACAGAACAAATCCCCTCACCCTTATAAACCCTATGCTTTTCTGAACATCTAAACCATAAGCAAGTGTCAAAATTTACTCCTATTTACCATAAGAGGGTAAGGGAAGATATCCACTTTCCATGACATCAGGTGATAAGTAGAATATTAGTAGACTCAGGCTACCCTCAGTGCAGCCTGTATATCAGTCCCACACAATGAGCTTTCTCTGAACTAAATCTGACTTGATTCCGACCTTTCAATCACCACCCTAGGGTGAGAGACAATGAAAAAAACTAAAGAAGAAAACAGAGTCATTTACACATATGAGAGTTTAATAAATGTCAAAATGTCTGAAGCCAAGTTGAATAGAACAAGATGTTAATGAAGTCCAAGTTATAAATTCAGTCCCCATAGAGACCAATGGACTTGGGCCAAGAAAAGCTGTTTCCTGGCTGACTACAGTATGGCAGATGGTCCCATTAGCCACAAAGAAGACTAAGCAAGAATGAAGATGGCTCAATGAATTCTGTTGCCACTCCTGTAGAAACAACTTGAATTGCATGTCTCCACTGAAAAATGGGCCAAGTATGTCATCTTCCTTTTTGAAGGTCAGACCCATAGCTCTAGATATAAATACATCCAGCTACATTACCATGTAAATCAGCTTGGTATCAAAATGTCAGAGCTGGAAGAGACTTCAAAGTATCTAAAAATCCTCATTTCGAAGAAGAGGAAATGTCGGCCCAGATTACAGCTGAAAATCATAATACCTAGCAGCCTCCTTTCTCGGGAGTTTGCAAAGTAAGCTAACATGCACGTAAAAAGACAAGAACCACAAATTTTTCAATCAATTTTAATTCAGAAATGCTCTTCTCTTTATGCTCCAAATAAGGTAATTGTGCATTAATATAATAGCTTCTGTCTCGATTAGAAAACACGAAAATGTGTGCATGACCACTAGTAAAACTAGTAAAGTGGCTGTTGTTTTTGTCCAGTCATTTCAGCTGTGTCCAATTCTTCATGACCCCATTTGGGGTTATCTTGGCAAAGATACTGTAGTGGTTTGCCATGTCCTTTTCCAGCTCATTTTACAGATGAGGAAACAGGAGCAGAGTTAAGTGACTTGCCCAGAGTCATACAGCTAGTAAGGGCCAGATTTGAACTCAGGAAAATAAGTCTTCCTGACTCCAGGCCTGGCACTCTATCCACTGTGACACTTACCTGCCCCGATGTTGAATATAGCAAGATCAATGAACACTTTCATAAGGAAGCACCTTTGACCCAGACATAAAACATGACATAAGCTAATACTTCACCTTTGAATTGAAAAGCAAAATAGGACAGTTTTATTTGCTACATGAGTTTACTTATTGTTTTTTGAATCATAACATCACAAACTTAGAATTAGATAGAAGGGACTTTGTGGGTCATAGCATCATAGATTTAGCGCTGAAAGGGTCATTAGAAGACATCTAATTCAATCCCTTCATTTTACAAATGAGGAAACTGAGGCCCAAAGAGATTTAGCAACTTGCCAAAGGGACATAGATAGTAAATAGGATAATCAAAATTTAAGATAGGTCCTTTAATTTCAAATCCAGTACTCTTTCCATGATACCTCAATGCCTTTTCTTTTCTAATGAGGAGTTTACTGACTGTTTTTTTCCATGCTGTTTTACTAAATGTTTTCCTTGCTAAGTATTTACTAATTGTTCTTCCTTTCTAATTGTGTTTGCTAATTTTTCTTGCCTGTCCATTGCAAAATTGCTGATTATTCTTCCTTGCTCCAAATATTAGTCACTATTCTGTCCTTAGTTGGGATCTAAACAGAAATTTGAAAGCTAATTATAACATGAAACTTTTAGAAAACACAGACTTGGACTGCAGAGCATTTAGCTCTCAAGAGTGACTTTAAGGAGCATCTAGGTGGTGCAGTGGATAGAGCTCTGGCCTTGGAGTCAGGAGGACCTGAATTCAAATCCAGCCTCAGACACTTGACACTTACTAGCTGTGTGACCCTGAGCAAGTCACTTAACCCTGATTGCCTAAGCAAAAACAAAATATATGTGTTTAACACTTCAAAAAAAAAAAAGAGCGAATTTAAAGAAAGTGTAGGAAGTTGGGTTTTTTTTTTTTTTCCAAATGATCAACAGAAATTTCTTCCAGGCTTCTCAGGTGGCACACAAAACAAGGGATCTGTAGGTCATCCTCAATTGTGTTTATACATTTCTACTCTAACTTATCTCCAGGGTTATTACATCTTGTATTATTTGATAACCATCCCACTACTGAAAACAATTTTCCACAATTTATTGTAAAAATCCAGGACACCTCTGTTCTTAAAAACGAAAAACCTGAGGCTCCGATTTTAAGGCATGAAGAAATGGACTTGTAATTGGAATTGTAATAGGAAGGATCTAAGTTAGGCATAAGGAAACTTCCAGGCCACAATATTTGGTTATCAGACACTGGAGCTACGTAAACTACTTCCCAGATGTGCTTTCAAGGTAGGGACATATTCATCTGACGGCACCTGTACATCCTGTCTAGACACAGGGGATATATTATTTGATTTTCTATAATCTTTTCCTCCTAGAGTAAGAGTTCTTAACCTGAGGTCCATGGACTCCTTGGATTTCCTAGTTCCCATGAACTGGATAGGAAAAAATATATTTTTATTTTAATTAATTTTTGGTTTCCTTTGTGAATTTATATATTTTGCTTTATAAATTTAAAAACATTATTCTAAAAAGAGGTACATAGTCTTCACCAGATTGCCAAAGGAGTCCATGATGCAATAAAGGTTAAGAATCCCTGTCCTAGAAGACTGAATAAATCTGTGCTAAACATGTTCAGGTGATGTATTTCCTATCCCAAAGAAATAGAGCTGCCATTAGCTTCCAAAGAACTTGGATAGTACTACCAATAAGGGACAACTTTTGTCAGGAACCCACTGCCTGGAAATGCTATAATGAGGATTATCTGTTGAGAAGAAACTTGATAAACAGCATTTCAAAGAAAGGCACTCCCCACTCCAGACATCAATAAATAATGACACCAATCAGAATAGCAGCACCCAACCAGGAGCAATGTAGCTATTTCACCAAAGTGGAAGTGTGTTTCTTGTCTGAAGCACAGAAACCATAACACTTACAACTGTCATTAAAGGCCCTCTGAGTCACAGGTATACCTCACTTTATGCGTACTGGATGTGGTGCTAGCAAGTAGTCTTCAAAATCAAAATTTGCAAATGGAATTTTATCGTAAATATAGCAGGAGGTTGACTACTTGAAACACTGTAATGAACTTTGGTGCAAAGTGAAAAATCCTTTTTTTTAATATGAATAAACACCCCTGAATGTATCAGTCTTCTAACTTCTGATATTTGCATATTGGGTATACTAAAAATGGATATACTTAAAAATTCAATATATCTCCACTTCAGACAGAACCTATGAGCACAATTGGCAGGCAAGGAATTATAAGAATTTTGTGAAACATAATGGAAAATGACAAGAGTATCAGAAATCTGAAATCTGAAAGACTTTCACTCAAAAGCTAAGCCATACTATATTTCATCAAACTTGCTAGCTCATACACAAGGAACGATGTCCACTCCAGCCTACACAATTACACACACACATAGACAAATAGTAGATACAAGAGCAAGAGCGGCACATATTACCACTCTAATGGCAATAAGACAGTGGCCAAGTCATAATATAAGTCCACTGGGGAACGGAGGGTGAGCTTTCTTGAAATCATTTCCGGCTCTCTTTTAGTAATAGGAAACAACAGCACATCAAACAGGTGAATTCAAAAGCCAATATATAGCCTTGGCCTTTGCTTTATGAAAGTGCCTCCCACCAACTCCCATTCTCCCCAGCACCAAGACTCTCCCTGCATTGACTCTTTCATATTGCTTGGTCCTGTCTCCGTTTCAAGCCAACCACCCTTGCTGCCAGTAGGAATGCTGCCCCAGTGAGGAGTTCAGAGATGAAGGAGATCCAGCCAAGAGCCAAGGACCATCCGAACCTGATGTCCACCTGGTTCAGGAGGTCCTTCTCTTCCAAGAGACAGACTGCTTCTTGGAAAGCTGCTGCCGAGTAGGCAATGTAGACACTGATCCCAGAGAGAGTCACCAAGGCTAAAAAAAACAAAACAAAACAAAACAAAAGCAATTAAAAGTCAAGTCACAGAATTACAGCCTCAAACTCTCAGAGTTGGACCAAACATGAGCTGAAATCTATACCCTCCTCCCAAAAAAAAAAAAGATTCCTCCTATAACATGCCCAACAAATTGTCATTCAACCTCTGCCCACATATCTCCAATGAGGGAAAACCTGCTACCTCTCAAGAAAACTTACTCTACTTTTTGAGTAATTCCAGATGAAGATTAAGTGACTGTTTTTAGTGATTTGTTTTGGAATATCAATTCAAAACTCAAAACATTTTAACATGACATTTTCTTGTTCAAATTCCTATAAATTATCTCAAGGTAGAGAGATGTTCAAGGGCTTTCAGGGGGGGAGGGGTGGTATAGAACTATTCCAGTTTACAATTTCTCTCTTGAAGCTAGAAATGCTTAGATATATAATAGAATGTTTAATTAAAATAATTTCTGGAAGATTTTGTATAAAATACAAAATATTAATATTTCTTTCCTTAACATTCATAAAGCATGGACTCAGAGTCTTTCACTATTTGGTTGCCTTCCTCTGGACAGTCTCCAACTTATGAATTTCCTTGCTAAACTGTAGTACAGAAAACTGAATATGATATTCCAGAGATTATCTGACCAGAGCAGAGTGCTATGGACTATCAACTCCCTATTCCTGGGAGCTTTGTCATTTTTAATGCAGCCCAAAAGAACATTAGCTTTTTTGTCAAACAATGTCTAATACACATACACAAGTACATATGCAGACCACCTTCAAAGAGACATGTGCATGTGCCTGGAAAATGTAGTTAAATTCAGTCATTCTACAGTTAATTTTGTTGTCCTGGAAGGTTTTTATCCAACTTCTAGACTAGAACTTCTCTCTTCTACAACTTCTCTCTCTCTCTCTCTCTCTCTCTCTCTCTCTCTCTCTCTCTCTCTCTCTCTCTTTCTCTCTCTTTCTCCATATATAGATATATATATATATGTGTGTGTGTGTGTATGTATGTGTATCTGTATGTGTATATATATGTGTATCTGTACACATACAGATACACATACATACACACACACATGTGTGTGCAATTACAGAATCATGGAATCTAGAAGCTGGAAGGCACTTTAACTAGTCTAACTCACACTTATACAATATCCCTTCTGCAATAATCACAGCATGTGAGTCATTCATCTTCGGTTATTAAAATAAAAATAAATATAACACTAGTTGAAAGGATAGGAGAAGAATCACTTCTTGACTCCTGATACTAGTATGAAAGTACTTCTATGCAGTACAAAGTATACTGGAGTAGGAGATAGGACGCCCGAATTCTAGGACTGGACTGTTGCCACTAGGTAGCTATGTGACGTCAGACAAATCACTTCACATCATAGGTCCTCAGTTTCCTCCATTCTAAAATGAGGGGGGTGGATTTAGCTGATCATCCCTAATAGCCCTGAATCTATACTCTGCTTCTCTGCTTCTGGGATTTCTTGATACTCACTAAAATCTAGAGACAAATCATCTTCACCAACAATCATCTTACCTTGTCATGAAATTTTATAAGCAAAACCATCCAAACCTCTCAGAGCTACACAGATTACTTGAATTCTCTGTTGGAGTTAGTACCATTTTAATAAGCCCTTTACTTTCCTAATTATATAAATGACAAAAAAAATTTACCCATCACGTTTACTTCCCAAAAGAGAACATGTGGGAAAAGACTCACCTCTTGGGGGAGAAAGACGAGGTTGACACAGAGAATTTCAAACACTAGGAGCAAAGACTACAGTAAATTCAGGTCTCCTGTTCTGTATAGTAATGAGTACCCTGGGCAGAGGTGGGAGTGGAGGGTGGGGTTCCATACACTCAGAAACTCCCAATTGTTTTATAAAAACTTTCATGCTTTCCCCTTTTTGCTACTTGGAGAATTCCAATCATCTTTTTTTTTTTTTGTCATTTGGGATTAAGTGACTTGCCCAGGGTCACACAGCTAGTAAGTGTCTGAGGCCAGATTTGAACTCAGGTCCTCCTGACTCCAGGGCTGGTACTCTACCCACTGTGCCACCTAGATGCCTCTTTATTTCTTTTTTTTGTCTCCTTTTTATTTGATATTTTTCATCCATCTGCGATATTTATCATCACATTTTCTTTCAAGACATAAGGCTGGCTATGCTATGAAGACTGATTACAGGTGTAGTCTAAGTTAGTTAATTTATTTGCAAGAGCAAGTTATAGTCAGGTAATTCCATAGGAACATAATGCAGTGGAACTGGGAGGGGAGAATCACACGGAAAACAAACTAAGCTGTTCTCAGTTGGGGATGATGTACTAAGATGTAGTTATAAGGTCTTAATGATATCAGTTGGGGGAAAGAGTGTGCACATTAAGCTTATATTTCCTCCTGGGCATTAGAACTGCAATGCCAGCCAACAGAGAATAGGCAGTTGGTATGTGCTAGAATCCATCTCTGATTATAGAGGCTCACTGAATAGGTTCTCTTCAGTTAACTAACTGAAAGAAAAAGGAAAAGAACACATTTTCATACTCAAACCTCATTTTGAAAAAAAAACCTTTCCTCAGAGTAACAAGAAGTTATTATTACGAAACATAAAATAAGAGATTCTATGAAACAAGAATTAAATAAATAAATATGTGGTATAATTTAAACATTGTCATCCATTAAACTTAGCTATTTTCAATTACTGCTTAAATTTGGCTTTTCTTTCTACCCTCAAAATAACTTCTAATTTACACCCGGGGTACTACCTTATAAAGACAAATAATTTTGAAAGACTTAAGAATACTGATTAATACAGTAACCAACCATGATTCCAGAGGCCCAATGTGGAACCATATTACCCACCTCCTGACAGAGAGGTGATAAGCTCAAAGTATAGAAAGAGAGCCATTTTTGAACATGGCCAATGTGGGAATTCATTTTGTTTCACTGTGAGTACTTGTTATAAGGATTTGTTGGGGGCTTTTTTCTTTTTCTTTTTTTTGTTAATGTTGGGTCCATTTGTGGAGGGAGAGAAAATAAATTCTTGTTCATTGAAAAACAATCATTTTAGTTTGTTTTTTATTTTTAAAAATCCTTAAAAGCCAGAGATAATTGTCCATCCACAGATGGCTCTTTCTGTCCAGCCCCACTTGGGCTAATTTCAGACTCCTGGGCTTTAGAACTTAGCCTGAATTATCTATCAGAATTCTTTTAAATCATGCTAATGATTCCCTGTTAGGATCTTATCTGTTTTATTTCTGTAAGTCCAGGAGATCTCAAGTTTTCTAGATGTTTCCCACTGATAAACCTAAGTAGTTCCACACCTACATATGACTTGTCTCCATAATCATCTATGTACATCTCTTCACACCTATGGCACGTAGAAAGGGGCAAGAAAAAAAAAGGAAAAGGACAAAAGAAAGAAAAACGAAACACTTTATCAGGGATTGTTTCATTTCTCTCTATTGTTGAGGGAGAAAGTTCCTATAATTCCCATCCAAATGATGAATTCAGCATGGGTACAAAAGTTCTTTTGCATAGTGCTGATAAAGATTACATTTTAACTAACTATTCAGACTTCTTGAAGTGACTTTGACTCCTCTCTCCACCCCCCCCCAATTTTTTAAACACAGCTGGTACATAAGAGAAAAATTTTTAAATGAAGTTGCACAATGGTTTCCTTATACAGTTTCTTAAAAAGAAAAACCAAGATGCCTGCTCCAATTGGGAAGAATCCATATTGCCTGCTCTATCTTTTAAAGGCCCTCCTTCACTCCACAAAAGAGACTGTACATGCTCCTTTCTGGACTTTTCAGAGTGCCTGGCATATAGTACGTGCTTAAGAAACGCTTACTGACCAATTTGTTAACTTACTCCCTGACTCTACACACACACACACACACACACACACACACACACACACACACACTGTCCCTCCCTGTAGGGGCACATGTCCCCTGTGGGGCCATGATGGTCTTTAAGCAGTTCTGAGTCCTTCCCTAGATCTGAGGCCGAGTAATGAAAAAGAGGCATCCACAAATGAACAATCCCTTCTCTAGACTCTTACTAGAAAAGGTTTGGCTTACTGCCTCATCAAATGCAATTAGAAATGTGTGTGCAAAGGCTGATTTACCACAAAAAAAAGTATGGAAATAGAGTATATTGAAGCCATCTGTCTCATTGGTGTGGCGAGTATTTATTCTCTTTTTGTTTCAAAATCCATATTTCTGGGGGGCAGCTAGGTGGCACAGTGGATAGAGCACTGGGCCTGAAGTCAGGAGGACCTCAGTTCAAATCTGACCTCAGACCAGACACTTGACACTTACTAGCTGTGTGACCCTGGGCAAGTCACTTAACCCCAATCACCTCACTCCCAAAAAAATCCACACTTCTAGTTGTTTCCCTTATGAACTCCTCAAAAAAAATAATAACCTCCCCTCAAGCCATTTCCTTGAGAGGAAATCATTTAGCGTCCCTCAGCCATACCTCTTGCCCTCAGCTCCTCCCCTCTGGTTCATAATTCCTAAGAAATATCTACTGATTGACACAGCGGACATACGAAAATTGATTTCCTGTTTAATAACGATTGGGTTTTTTGCTAACTTTTCTTCTAATTTGACAGGATTCAGCATAAAATGATTGTCACTGTCAAGTGATTCAATCAAGGTTCAGAAAAATGATCATTCTTTCATCTCTACAACGCATTCTCCCTAATGAGTATGGGCAGGAATGGCCCCATAATACCAGGTCTTCAATTTCCTGACCAGCTCAACAAAAGAGAAATGTATTGCAAAGCTGCCTGGATCACACCAAAAACAGCTGGATTTTTCATGTGCCACTCACAACAGGAAAACTTGAGGACTGCAGGAATGACCATTTTCTGATTTGAAGAGCAAAATGGGTATTCATTCAACAAGCATTTACTAAGCACCTACTATGTACCAAGCACTATAGCACAAAGACAAAATGAAAGGAACTGAGACAAAAAAAAATTAGAGTACCTTCCTTCAAGGGGTGTTACATTCTCTTAGGGGCCACAATATGAACATATATAACTATATACAATTATACATAGGTTGAGAGGTCACCAACAAGTACAGGGGAGTGGGAATTAGGAAAAGCCAGGAATAGAAGGGGGCATTTAAGCCTAGCTTTGAAAGAAGACAGAGATCCTAAGAAGCAAAGGGGAGGGAGTAGATTCTAAGTCATGGAAGGATAGCTTTTGCAAAAGCTATGTAACAGGTATGTACTTGGTACTCCAAGGATTCAGAGCAAATACCCTGGAAATGATCTACTTGGAGGGCCTAAAGGAAATATGGAAGCTTCTACTCTCAGCCCAAGGCTCATGTTTCTACATAGCTATTTCTCATAGTTTTGAACCTCAAAAAGGGTTTAGCATAGTACCTCCAAAAAGGAAAAGTATCCCAGTCATGAGGAGGAGGAGATAGGCTCTGGCGAGGATGCTTATAAATCCCGTCATCCCTCCAAAGACCATCAGGATCAGGCTGAGCGGCAAAAGGATCACAAACGTCCCATGCATAGCTTGGGAGAAACAAACAAACAAAAATAAAATGGAAATGTGAATTTGGTCTGCAGAGATATTATATTAAATAGAATGCCAGGTCAGGCTAGCTGGTGCGGTGGATAGAGTGCTGGACATAGAGTCAGGAAGATCTGAGTTCTAATCTGGCCTCAGGCACTTATTAGCTGTGTGATTGTAGACAAGTCACTTAACCTCTGTCTGCCTCAATTTTCTCAATTATAAAATAGGAATAATAAGAGCATTCACCTCCATGGGTTGTTGTGAGGCTTGAATGAGGTAGTATTTGTAAAGCACTTAGCACTTTGCTTGGCATGTTAGTAGGTGTTGAATAAATGCGTTTCCTTCTCTTCACTATGACATTAAGCCCCTGGAATCATATCATTAAATTAAAACTCTCATTTTACAGATGAGGAAACTGAGGCCCAGAATAGGAAAGTGACCTGCCTGACATCACACAACTACTCAGTGGCAGGTCCAGGACTGACACCCAGTTTAGTGCTCTTTCCACTGCCCCAATCTGAGACCCATGGAGTATCCAAGGTCTCCCACCACTGTTGCTGCCGCCATTGTTCCCCACCTAAGATAAAACATACAGCTGTAGGTTCCCTTCCACCACCACCACCAGCCCCAAGATACCATGGCACCAACTACACATGCCCATTGCCACCCTTTGACTTAGTCTGAGGAGAGGAAGATTTCCAGATGCTTCACAGGCCACAATGAGGTGAAGATAAAACAGATGTGTTAAGATAAAACAGATAAAATCAAAATCTTTCAAGGAAATCACATCTTGTTATACAGTAATTCTGTCCATGGACCAAGAAACAAAATAATAATAACAAACATCAGATGAACATTCACATTTCCAAATCAGAGGAAGCAAATGTTGTCCTGAGACTCATACAAAAGTGTTCCTCTTCTCCTTTCCCTTCGTGCTGTAGGAGAACAATTCACCTCAACTCCAGATCACAGGGCTTCATCTTCTTTAACTAGTGCAAGTGTCCAAATACCTTTCTGCTGGAAAACATAATGTTTACAACATGCACACAAATACTCTTCCCCCTCCACCAAAGCAAGGGAGAGAAAAGGAGTCTGTGTGACTCTTCATGTTGATGATATCCCAGTAAAGCCGGAAAGGACATACTGGTCTCAAGTTAGGCAAGCCCTCACCTGCAGACCTGCCTGTCCCAAAGAGGACCTGACCCAAAAAGTAGTCATTAACAGCTTAATGTCAGCTTGGAAGGAGGTCTCCAGTAAAGTATCCCGGTAGAGAGTTTCTGCAGCTTAACATTTTTATAAATGCTTTGGCACGCTTAGAAAATTTGTAAATGGTGCAAAGCTGGAGAAATTACTGACTCACACTGGGGAGATTGCTAACACTGGGTAACAGGGTCATGATTTTTTCCCAGACTTGACAACGGGACAAATCTAATAATATAAAATTTCATAGGGATGAATATAAAGTCTCAAATGCAGCTCAAAAATCAATCTCACAAATATAAAACAGAAAAGCACAGCCAGTTTGCCTGGATCAACATGAGTCAATATTGTAATACAGCCAACATATATAATCAGAGATAAACACAAGACCCTAGCAATGGGGAGGTTCGGGGAAGACCTTGGGAAGAAGGAAGCTTCTCAAGAAGGCTGAAGCAGACTTGGGCTGCATTCGAGAGGCAGTGTCCAGGATCGGGATCATCCTACCATACTCTGACCCAGTCAGACTACCTCTAGAGTACTGCATTGAGTTTCAGAAGCCACAATCTAGGTAGGCCATTGATAAGTTGGAGACTGTCCAGAAGAAAGCACCTAGGATGGTGAAGGGCCTCAAATTCAAACTAAACCAAGATTTGTTGAAAGAACTGGAGACGTTTAATCTGAGAAAAAGAAGATTTACAAAAGGAATGAAGGAAATGTGCCAGGCATGGTGCTAAGTACTTTACAAATATTATCTCTTTTTATTATCTCCATGGTGACATAGTAGCCTTGTATAAATGCTTCTACAATGTACCAACAATGTCTCTACAAATGCTCCAACAACCCTGGGAAGTCAGTACTATTATTTTCCCCGTTTTGTAGATAAGGAAACAGAGACAGACAGAGGCTAAGTAATTTGCCCAAGGTCACCCAGCTAGTAAGTGTCAAGGCCAGATTTGAATTCAGGTCTTCCTGATTCCAGGCCCAGTTCTCTAGCCACTGCACCACCTAACTATATCTAAGACGGGGAGACATCAGAACTATCTTCAACTCTCTGAAGTACAATTATGTGGAAGAGAGATTAGCTCCAGAGAGGAGAAACAAAAGCAATGGGGCATGGCAGGGAGAGAGTAATGGGAGTAGTTACAAAGAAGCAAGTTGAGGTTTGATTTCAAGAAAACCAGGACTGAACCCAGTAGAGTGAATAACTATTAGAGATATGCCAAAGAAAAATGGGCTGCTTCAGAAGTAGTGAGGAGGCTTCCCCTTTACTGGAGATCTTCAAACAGAAGGAAGCTGAATGGATGACCACTCCCCTAGATACTGTTGCAAGGAAGGGATTATTGTTTAAACCCAGATCTGCACAGAGGGAGCCTCAGGTCTCCTTCAACTTGGAGATTCTATAATTTTGTTTCTTGCCCACTGAGAATTACTTGACTTCATTGCCATATTTTCTCTGTGGTGAAATAGCAGCATTGTATAAATGCTTCTATCTGAGCTCCCCCCACCCTTTTTTTTAAAAAGATTGGGTCCCTGAAACTGCAAGTCCTAATGAGAAGGGAAAGTCCTTTGGGGAGAAAGAGGGTAAGGATACATCCTTAAAGCTTAGGAAGCAAATCGTCACAAGGCTAGACCAAAGTTGCTAGAGTCCCCGCCCACAGCTGCTTCCTCCCTCACTGAATGCAAAAAAATTGCAAGCTGTCCCTAAAGGTCACAGGGCAAATGCCGAAATGCCCTTTGAATAGAAAGAACACCGGATTAGGGGCCAGGAGTCTGGATTTTGGTCCTAGCTCTTTTTTTAATTTTTATTAATTTATTTTGATTTATCAATAATCACGTCCATATGCTTTTGAGTTTAAAATTTTTCTCCCCCTTCCTCCCCACCACCCTCCCCAAGACGGCCCACAATCTGATATAGGCTATACATTTACATTCCTATTAAACATATTTTCACATTAGTGCTGTTGTAAGTAAAAATTAAAACCAATAGGAGCAACCATCAGAAAGAAGAAACAAAATTCAACAGAAGAGAAAAAAAATAGCAATTCAACTTCCAGTTCTTTCTTTGGATGTGGATAGCATTTTCCACCACGAGGCCTCTGGAGATGTCTTAGATCCTTGTATTGCTGGGAAGGGTTAAGTTTATCAATATTAGTCATCACACACCATGGCTGTTATTGCGTACAACGTTCTCTTGGTTCTGCTCACTTCACTCAGCATCAGACCATACACGTCTTTCCAGGTTTTTCTGAAGTCAACCTGTTTGTCATTTCTTATAGCACAATAGTATTCCATTACATTCATATACCACAACTTACTCAGCCATTCCCCAACTGATGGGCATCCTCTCAATTTCCAATTCTTTGCCACCACAAAAAGAGCTGCTATGAATATTTTTGTACACGTGGGTCCTTTTCCCACTTGTATGATCTCTTTGGGATATAGCCCTAGAAGTGTGTAGCTCTTTTTCTAACTAACCTGAGGCAAACTTCTTTGCTCTCTGGGCCTCCGTGTACTTATCTGTAAAATGAAGGGGCTGGACTAAATGATCTCTAAGGGTCCTTCTACTGCTTATATTTCATGATGCCTTGACTTCGTATCTCGTTTTCAGGAACAACCTTTTGGTTAGGCAAAGTGGGCTCCACTGCCCCCCCACTGAAAAAATTCTCCCTCATTGGTCTACCTCTGATGCCTAAAATTACCTCATTCTAGTTTAGTTTCAATCCTTGGATTCACATCATCCTTGTGAAGATCATACCCACTGGGAGAGCAGACATGTTAAGTCATGTATCTCTTACTGAGAATGAGTTCTTCAGATCTCTTCCAGATGACAAAAGGTAGCTTTTGATAGGAAGAAGGATAGAAAGAGCATAAGGGAACTGAGTCAGAGCCAGGACTAAGGGAGTAGGAAATATATACAGCCAACTGGGGATAACAAGGCTCATCAAAATGCGACACTTTGAAGTCAAGAACCTTCACTCTTTGTGAACTCATGGCCTTGTCCATGGGGTTTCCTTGGCAAAGATAGTGTAGTGATTTGTCATTTCTTCTCCGGTGTATTTTTACAGATTGAGGAACTGAGTCAAATAGGGCTTGAGTGACTTGCCCAGGATCTCACAGCTAGTGTCTGAGGCCAGATTTGAACTTATATCTTCCTGACTCCAGGCCTGGTGATCTATCTATTGCACTGATCAGGAAGACCAGGGTTCAAATCCCTCCTTCACACAGTTATTAGCTGTATATCCCTGAGCAAGTCACTTAAAAGTCTCTGGACCTCCATTTCCTCACCTGTAAAATGAGGAGGTTGGACCTTTATGGACCTTTCCAATCTAAATCTATGATCCTAATTGTATATTAAAGTTTAAATGAACAAGTATCCAAGACATCTTTCCAAAGTGAGTTAGACTCAGACAGAATGGTATCTTGTTAATAAGACAGCCAAATCAAGTCAAGTCAGATTAAAAAAAAAATCCCCTACATTGAGCCCCTACTGTGCTAAGTAAATTATTTAAAGAACCAGGGGAAGACAGGCTTCTATGAAGCCTTCTATTCAATTCTATGGAGAATTTATGGAAAGAAATGGGTAGTAATCACACAGATGAAGTGTGGAGAGAATGTGATCTGCTCTGATTGAAGGAGTACCCAGTGATCAAAGCATAGCCCCATCAAAGAAAGCATCTGTAGGGAAGGCAGCTTATTGATGACCTTTCTCCAACTAGATTTTCAGATCCCTGAAAACAGAAACTCATTCTTCTTCATGTTCCTCACAACAGTACTTAGCAAATCTTTGTTGTTTTGGATG